TAAAGAATGGAACGCAGGTAGCTATCAAATCCTTAATGTAGAATGAGATTCCTTCTTTTTTTCATTAATTTAATAAAGCCGAACAGAACTTCATAAGAGAATATATATATATTTTTAATCAAATTAGTACCTCTTTGATAAAGCGGGATCTAGTAAGATAGTTTTTTTAATCAAAGAATTTTCGGTATCCATTATGAAAAAGAACAAGGTTATAATAGATATGGCTAGAAATCACTCATAAACAAAACTAAGCAAGGGTTGTTACGAGGGAACGAAACCAAACATTTTAAACAAAAAATATCTCCCTGAGATGATATGTAATGAGTCAAAGCGGACAATATCTACTAGTAATGGACTTCGACTATTACAGTTATGGACCTGATATATAATCAATAGCTTTACGTAAAAAAAAGTCTGACAAATCGACTATTCCTAACCTATAATTGATGTGAAACTTTATTCATATTCTAACGTATTCTTGGATTGGGTTGATTTGATTTGACTCCACAACAAACATTTTGTTTTGTGTGTTAGAAGTTTAGATAATGCCAATATATTCACATTTATCTGAACATCTCCTTCTCCAAATTTTGCTTTCAGGTTTCTTATATTAACCATGTTTTGTTTCTTTGTCTTTGAAGACATGTCTGTGAAACAAAGTTGGTGACACAGACCCGAATGTACCAAAATTTCAAATCAAATTCTCTTTTCCCCTAAAAAGAAATGTTTTTCACAACTCGTCTTCCCATACACCGCCTTAATTCCACGAACTTATCTCAACGCAACAATCCTAATTGTTTCGGTTGAGAGGGAGTCCCACATCCGCTAATTAAGAGGTTGATCATGATACATATTCATTGGTACGGGGCGTTTAGGTGGAAGCTCCAACTATTGTGGAGACCCATGATTCATTCCTTCGACGCGATTGCCGAATGAAATAGCACTTGGACAAGATTGAGCGGATCATAATTGGCATCACCATGGGCATCATGAAGGTCTCATCATAGCCACCAAGTGGGTTTAAAATATATAAATGCGAGGGGCTTTTTGAAGTATCTCTCTGTTTTATAACCTTATATTCTTGTTGAATATAAAGGAGCTAATGAAACAATAATTGAAGAAATAATTAAATGATTCATAGTCATTAGGAGAACATCATTAATGAATTCAATCCATCTTAAAACGTGGATTAAGGTGAGACCCACTTAATTAGAGTTTCTAAAATGGTGTATAAATAAGGGAAATGGTGGGATTGAAGCTCCAAACACAATCCCCTAAAACTAGAGCTTTCCTCCTCTGTCAAACAAAGCTATGGTGCAGAAGATAGCTGATGAATATAGGCTACAAATCATTACAGAGCAAAATAGTAATAATTTGATTGTAGTGAGAGCATACTGTGAAGAGAGGGATAAGGTGTCGGTGGAGGAGCTGGAGAGGCAGTGTGATGTCGGACAGAAAGGGAAGGCTTCTATTTTCACCGATCTTCTGGGTGATCCTATTTGCCGCATTCGCCACTTCCCTTTGCACCTCATGCTGGTAAATGCTCATTTATTTGTATGTGTTTTTAAAGTGGCACCTTTTAAATAGGAAGGTTTTTTGGGAATTGTGTCACAGGTTGCAGAGTATGGAGAAGCAAGAGATATCGTTGGTGTTATAAGAGGATGTATCAAACATGTCACACCAGGCCATTCTCATCATCCTCTGAACCTCGCTTATATTTTGGGCTTAAGGGTCTCTACTACTCACAGGTCTGTCGATGTTTTTTACTATTTGGAATCATAAATCTCTACAATAGTATGATATTGTTAAATGTTAGTTGTGCAATGCAGGAGGTTAGGAGTTGGCACAAAACTAGTCGAACATGTAGAGAAATGGTGCAAGCAAAAGGGTGCAGACTATGCATATATTGCAACAGAATGCGCTAACCAGCCCTGCATCAACATGTTTACACACAAGTTTTCATACACAAAATTCAGATCACCCACAGTGTTGGTTCAGCCTGTCCATGCTCACTACAAGCCAATAAGCTCAGGGGTTGCCATTGTGCGCATTCCCCCGCACGTTGTTGTTAAAATTTATCGCCAACTCTTTGCAAATGCGGAGCTCTTCCCCATGGACATTGACGCCATTTTGTCCAACAAGCTTAATTTGGGCACTTTCATGGCAGTTCCTAAGAAGCTGCTTCCTAATTGGAACCCTGAAACTGGGATTCTTCCTCAGAGCTTTGCAGTGTTGAGTGTGTGGAACACTAAAGAAGTTTTCAAGTTGCAGGTTAAGGGAGTGTCTAAGCTAACTTATGCATGTTGCATGGGGAGTAGAGTGTTGGATTCATGGCTACCATGGCTTAGATTACCTTCATTTCCAGATGTGTTCAGTCAATTTGGGGTGTATTTCTTGTATGGACTATCCATGAGAGGAAGTGATGGGCCACGGCTCCTGAAGTTTCTATGCAGATTCGTGCATAACATGGCTAAGGATGATGTGGGATGTGGGGCGGTAGTAGCAGAGGTAGGCCAACAGGATCCTGTGAGAGCCGCCATACCCCATTGGAGAAGATTTTCATGGAGTGAAGATTTATGGTGCATCAAGAAGCTGAGAGATTTGGAAGGGGATGAGTGTAATTGGATCAAATCTCCACCTTCATCAGCAGGGATATTTGTTGATCCTAGAGACATCTAACTATATCTTTCTTTCTCCCACATCAGTACACAAAATCATAAAAGGAATGTTCATAAATCTCTAGCTTACTCTCCTTTTCCTTTCTCTTTTTTCTTTTCAACGCTCTTCTTCACTCAGTGTCTCCTGTCTCCCGTTAAGATCGCACAACAACGCACACACTCGATCAAGATGAATACAAAGAAATAGGAGAAAGAAAATGAAAGGAGAAATATTGGCTATGGTGTGTATATATATATACGGTTTCAGTTTACTAGATATAGTTTTAACAGATTTAAGCACATCCCCGCTTCCGATTCGAGACCCACTTAGCTGATTAATGGAAGCAAAGGCGGGGGAATTGGCAAGTGGCAATTAAGGAAAGAATATGGAGCAAAAGTGAGAGAATCAGAAGCTTACTAGAAGCTATAGAATAGGCTTTTTAGTTCAGGCATCCCTAAGTTATTTACTGCTACAAATATGCAAATAATAGAAACCAGTGTGGGGTTGGTCCCCTCCACAAAACCCACACAAAATCAAGTTATACATATGTTCTTAGGGAACAATATCTCAGCTGGATCTGTTACCATCATAATGTAAAAACTATTTTCAACGCCTCAACAAATGGACAAATAACAAAAATAGCATAGAATCCAATATCCTTTGACGAGGTTCTGTTGCATTGTCCTGTGCCATAAATCATGAGTCATCGTAATATCTTCATATCCACTTGATTCCGCGTACCCCTCTAGATTTAAGCCTGTCTCTATGAAAGATGAAACTCCCTTTTCCTTTTAATTGCAACTAAGACCTGTGTGATCCTTACTACTGACATAGCTAATGGACTAGATTGTTTAAGCATACTCCCTTTTACATGAGAAACATTAGAGCTCATAGGGTCTAACACATTTGTTAGTTGGAAGTTGGTATAAAATTAAAGTAAGGGACCTGTAATTGATATCAAATCGACAAAAACAACATTGGAGGGTATCTAGAAAAGGCCACTGTTGTTGTGTTGTGTGCACCCTTGAAAATCCCAATTACTCAAAGCCGATTATGAGTATTCTCGAGCTAGGCATGAAGCCGATTAAAGATTGTGTGACTTGATAGTTTTGTTGGATTACCTCGCTTGACAGATCCGTCCTATGGGAGGACAAAGATCATGCGGGTAGTCATTGGAACTAGTACAAATAGGGGGTCGTGCCCACAACTTTGAGTGACTATATGGTCGAGTAGACGAGATCACTAGCTAACCTTTCACGGAAAAGGAGTAAGCTAGTGAGAAATGATGAGAAAAGTGTCTTCAATACTCCAATTGTCAATGGTCAGTCCTGATTATCCGTCCTCCATGGTCAAAACAGAATGAATTCATCTCCTAGATTTCCATAATCAATTTCTAAGTATTTTCCAATCATAAAGTCTCCAGACAAATGGAGTTTCAAATCTCAACTACTCAACGAATGTGTAGAAGACGACAACTCAACTAATAGAAAACATATATACATTAAAAAAAAAAAAAAAACATTAATAATTTTTTTTATTAAGTTTAGTTTCTAAATTCTAAATTTCAAAAGTGGGTGGGATGCTATTTCATAAATATGTTTTTTTTTTTCAAATTTCTAAACTTTGTAAAAAAAATAAATAAATTATTATTTACTTTTTTTAAATTAAACTACAAATTTAGGGAGATTCTACCTTAGTTGGTTGGAGAGGGAAAGAAACTTGTGAAACCTCTTCCTAATAGACGCGTTTTAAAATTTTGAGGAGAAGTTCGAAAGGGACATTGATTGGAGAGGGGAGCGAAACATTTTTTATAAAGGTGTGAAAATCTCTTCTTAGTAGACATGTTTTAAAACCACGAGGGAAAACTTGAAAGAAAAAGTCCAAAAATGACAATATATGCTAGAAGTGAGCTTGAACTGATATAAATTGTATCAAAATTAGACATGGAAGGATGTGTCACTAAGAATATTGGGCTCCCAAAAAAGTGGATTGCACTGTTTATAAGGGTGCCGAAACATCCAAAAAGAGAAAGCCTATTGTTACGTTTAGTCTCTAAACTTTCAAAGGGTTATCTCATATTAGTCCTTAGCTTTACATTTTTGTCTAAATGCAACATTTTAAGAAATTCACCTTCTCTGTCCTATTAAACACAAATTTTATTTTTATGTTCAATAGATTCATTAATTTTAAAAAATGTTTAAATCTTAAAATTTAAAATTTAGAAGGAATCAGATTCACATAGAAAGAAAGCAAATTTAACGTTCAAAATTTCTTTCCATCACAAACCTTAAAATTTAAAATTTAAATTACCCCATAAAGTTGGTGTGTCAGCAGATTGGTCTCCCGCACTGGGTCCTTCAACAGCTGTCTCTGTCCCAGCGCCATTGGATATCAACAACCAAATCCTCGCCCCCCCTCTTCCACGCTAATCTAGGGCACAATTAGAGCCTCCCTCTCACAATGCCGGCCTCGCTGCAGCTCCTTCCCTTCTTCCTCCTCCTCTGCACCGCCGCCTCTGTCTTCCCTGTCTCCGCTACCGACCACATCGTCGGCGCCAACCGCGGCTGGAACCCCGGCATCAACTACACTCTCTGGGCTAACAACCACACCTTCTTCGTCGGCGACCTCATCTGTAACTTCTAAATCCTCTCTCTCTCTCTCTCTTGTATAGATCTTTCGACATTGAAGGGGAAGTTTTAGTTTCATTTTACTTGTTTTTATGATCTTTTGAATTCAAGAAATGTTCTGAGCATGATTTCCGTGTTGAGGTGCCACATCCTTCTCGTTAATCAAAAGAAGCTCAAAAGTTAAAATACCTTTCCAATGATGGAAGTCCTCGCTAGTTTAAAGAATGATCATGAGTTTATAAGTGAGGACTATTAACTCTAACACCATTGGTATGAGACCTTTTGGGAAGCTCAAAGCAAAGTCATGAGAGCTTATGCTCAAAGTGGACAATATCATACCATTGTGGAGAGTCGTGTTCGTCTAACACCCACGATTGCAATGCTGTATTCTTAGAAGAAAAAGGAGCAGCTGAGTCGGCATTTGTCCGCTCCTTCCTTCTCTGCCTCATCCCTATGTTTCGAACTTTACCTCAAGGTTTTTAAAACATATCTGGTAGGGAGAGGTGAGGGTGCTTCTTTCTCCTCCTCAATTGATGTAAGATCTCACAAGTATCTTATTAATTACTTCAAATACAATAGTATTATTTGATATTGATGGTTTGTTAAGACTGCAAATTTAGGTATAATTTGTGGAAGTTAGTTCATAGTGGATTTGAGAAAGACATGTCTCCACTCTTTTGAAGTTGAAATATAATTAGTATTACATTACCCCAAGTCCTAACGCCTTGCAAACTAAAAATTTGGCAGCATTTAGGTATCAGAAGAACCAATACAATGTGTTTGAGGTTAACCAATCAGGGTATGACAACTGCACCACAGAGGGGGCCTTTGGGAATTGGAGCAGTGGCAAGGACTTCATCCCTCTCAACAAGGCCCAAAGGTACTACTTCATTTGTGGCAATGGGCAGTGTTTTAATGGCATGAAGGTGACCATTCTTGTTCATCCTCTTCCTCCTCCTCCATCTTCTCCCCTTGCCTCCAAGAATTCCTCGCCCTCCTCCGCCACACCCCGGACAGGTTCTCGACAATGGCAGATTCGTGCTCTGCTTGTCTCTTTGGCTTTGATTTGGTTTGGATCTGACTGGATTTAGTTGAGCCATGGCTGGGGTATGTAGAGGAGTTTTAGTTTTGGAATGGTTCTTCTGAGATTTCTAAATTTGGTAGCAGAATTGTCTCCCAATTCCCAAACTTGTGAGGGGACATTGTTTGATTGTTTTCAAATTTGTAGGCTGGTTGTGAATGCTTGGTTTGTTCTCATTTGTAATGACAATCACATTCAGCTTGTTTCAGTTCCTTCCAGTTTGCTCCCAAATCGTGGGAGGATTAATTAAAGACATTTTTTTTTTTTTTTTTTTTTTTTTTTTTTTTTTTTTTTTTT